TTTTTGGTCTGACCATGTTGTTTCCAATCATCTGTTTAACAGACTGGGCTTGCTTTCTCACTGTGTCCTGAGGGGCTAGAAATGATTACAAACATGGGCTCTGCTTTCAAATCCCAGCTACGCCACCCTACTCACAATGTGGCTTCCACCCCAGGCCCACCATGTAACATTATCTCATATCCATGTACCCATACGTTTGCTGGGTCTGGACTACCCTTTCTGTTTCCAACCTATGCCAATCTCAGCTCCACTGCTGGTTTCCATAGAAAACCAATCACCCTAACCTATTGTGAACTTTGTCGTTTTACTAAAGCTTCCTGGGGTCAGGCAGAAGTGCTGGACACACAACGTAGACCATTTCATTTGAAAAGAATCCCCATTAGATACCTATTAGCAATCTCTTCCCCCAAGTCTCCCAGAAAGAGCTGTCAACAGGAGTTCTCTATCTTTCCACCTCCCTTCATCCAGGTTCTCCCCCACCTCAGAATTGCCTCTCCCTTTTCCCAACCCTCCCTCCCTGTTCCTTTCCTTATCTCTTAGCCCTTTTTTATTCAGAGCATTTGTGCATATCTAAATCCAGGTACTCAGTAAGCAAACCACTCCCAGCATTCACTCTCCTAAAAGACTGACACAGCACAGCTTTTCGAAGTGGTGCCTGTGTTCAAGTCACTGAATCAGACCCACCAGTGACAGGGAAAAAGTCAGAAGTTAGAGACAGAGACCCTAAAAGGGTCAGAGATCCAGATTGGCCACTAGGACTGTGAGCAAGTCACTTCACATCCCTGAACCTGTTTTTCCATCTATAAAATGAAAACTGAGAGTGATCTCAGATCTTTTAGTTTTCACATTGTAGGTTTTAGGTAGATAGCAAAACAAAAAAATTATAATCGAGGTACAACTAACTCTTAGTTGTCCTGACGTCTTTCACTTTTAAAGAACCTTAATTACTTGGTTGTCACCCTATTTCTTACACTCTCATCCTGCAAAAATAACTCACAACTTGAAGAAAGCTTTGCTTCCTCTCCTGGCTTTGGTCCAGCACTTCAAGAGCATGATCTTTTATGAATGCATATGAATGGAGCAGTGTTGTCCTCCTCATAAGAGTACTATGGAGAAAACTATGAGCACTTTTTGTGGGGAGGTGGGCTACTTCTGAATTTCTCATATCCTTTTCAGTGAGCAAACAAAAATACCACTGGCACACTGTGGTCTGAGATTAAACATTATATCATCACTCTATTCTCATTTTCGGTTCTTTCAATGTTCCCACCAAAATATCAAAATGGTTCCCAGAAAGTGGCACAAAGGGCGGGGGGGTGGGGAGCAGAATTGTGGCACAATATCAAACTCTGCTTATCTTTGACTTAACTTTGCTTAATTCCCTACTAAGTAAAATCCAGATAGTAAAAAAACAACCATCTGTCCAAAGCTGTGTCCTGGCAGACAGAGATGTACTAAACTCCTGTACGTGCTGTCCTGGCTAGGTATGCTTGCTTTTGTCAATTCTCCGATTCTCTCGAAAAAGGTTATCTATCCCCAAAGCCATTAAAGCTTCTAACCAGGATAAATAGTGGTAAAGAGCTCCTGCTCATGAAAAACAGTCCTCCACTGTCAGACATTCCCTCTTAATTGATCTTAATAAGCTACTTTAAATGAAGTGGAAGGAAAAAGCATAGCACTAACACATTGTAATTATCTGTAATTCTCCATTTGTAATGTCACTGAATAGAAAAAATAACGCAAACGTGGACAGACGCTGACTAGAGCTTTACAATGACATCAAAATTAGGGTATTTTGTACAGTAAGTAACATGACCAAGTTGCAGTATTTCAAAGGCAGGTTTTCATCCCAAGGACAATACATACCACGGATTGCTGGAACTGCGATGAGATGAAATTTCCACAAGTCATAACCCATGGGAATAGGCAGGGGAAGAGACGTTTAACATTGTGTCCTAAAAGGTGGTCACTGTGGTAGAGACCTGTTTAGCTGCTAATATTTAACGTAAAATTCAGTGATTCTATATCAGCTTTTTTTTTTTTTTTAAAGATTTTATTTATTCATTTTTTTCCCCCCAAAGCCCCAGCAGATAGTTGTATGTCATAGGTTCACATCCTTCTAGTTGCTGTACGTGGGACTCGGCCTCGCGCTGGACGGAGAAGTGGTGCCTTGGGGCGCGCCCGGGATCCGAACCCAGGCCGCCAGCATCAGAGCGCGCGCACTTAACCGCTAAGCCACAGAGCCGGCCCTATATCAGCTTTAAAGTGAGAAGAAAAGAAATAGACGCCCCACCCTCCTAGACAGGTTTTTTGGCAACTTAAAAGAAGTATAATCCTAGCATTTTTAGAGTTAATTTATAAAATCAAGCAACCTTATTTTACAGATGAGAAAATGAAAACCCAGAAGAGGTCTCACAGCTGTTAGCAAAGCCCACCGGCCTCAGGCATGGAGGAGGAGAAAGGGAGGAAGGGTCACAGAAAGACCACTACTCTTTATCTTCCTGATAATCTCATCTTCAATCTTCACCCATAATCAACATTTCCCTTAACCTTCTTTACCTCTCTTGGCATCAATAAGTAATCCTTAAGAATTTACTATGTGCCACAAAACTGCGTGCTAAACACTAGGGTTACTATAATAATTAAGATACACCTAGCATAGTGAAAACAATTTCTCTAATGTCTCAGCAATAATACAATTTATTACCATGTTTTTAAAATGTCATGAACCTTCACTCCAGAAATGAGAGTGATCTTGTGCGAGTTTGTACGCATGTGTGAAGGAGTGGGTGTGTACCCAGAGCATTAATATGTATTTCCTTGAAATGATCAGCTATCCAGTCCTGAAGCTGTAGTCTCCATTGCTAAAAAGCAGCACCAATTGACCTAGTGGCAACAACAAAAAAGGACTACCTTAGGCTTATAGCTGAAGATGGACTAGGAAGAAAGATGGGAGCCCCGGTTACCAACGGATAACAAAAAAGGGGAAAATGACCAAGATCCCAGGTAAGCAGGGAATAAGGCACCCGCCTGGAAGGCCACATGCAGCCCCAGGTCCAGGTCCCAGCCCGGCCTGGAGCAACGGCCTGAAGGAGAAACAGCAATGACCTTTGCATGTGGCTCACTGGAAAGTTTATGTTGGGTTTGCCCTAGTTAACTATTACCAGCATTTGCTTTTGCTTTAACAAACGACAAAACAACTGAAACTAGAAAAGAGGTGAATCAACTTGAATTCTTTTTACTTCAGTTCTCTTGAAAGTTACTCGGATTAAAAACAGTGCTCCTCCTATCTATTCTGGGGTAAACAAATTGGGAAAGAAAAGCTGAAAATAATTAACTTATTAGTGAATTTTAATTCATATAACTTTTTTGGAATTGACAGTTAAGAATTCCATTGATATTGTATTATGAGCTGACCTAAACCAATTTACCCAGAAAATGCCTAGATCTTTTGACAAATATAAAGAGCTTCACTTAGAGGTAGGTGAGAGCTATGTACTCCCTACTCCCAAACTTATTACAGTCACGTGTCACTTACCGACGAGGATACGTGCTAAGAAGTGCATCGTTAGGTGATTTCATGGCTGTGCTAACATCAGAGTATACTTACCTAGATGGTACAGCCTATTACACACCTAGGCTGTATGACACTAATCTTACGGGACCACCGTAGTATACGCGGTCCATCGTTGACTGAAACGTAGTTATGTGGCACATTACTGTACTAGTCTCAGCTCAAATTCTGCCAATGTACATAAACAAGCAAGCACAAAAACAGACAATCTGTCCTTTTTCGGGGGGAATTTCTCTTTTTGATTTCAGGCACTTAGATAAGAACCATACAAGTTCACTCTGAAGTAGACATAACATTCTCAGGGCAGGACAAGCAAACCTTAGAATCAGGTGGAGAATGAAACCCTTGGAGAAGTGGGGCGATCACAGACCTCACTGCTCTAAAGATGTCGGGATGCCACACTTGGCAAGTTCTCATTCCTCATTCAGCCAAGGGTGGTGAGGCTCTTACCACTCATCTTACTAATTAAAAATATTTTTCAACATCCTTAAGGTAAAGAAAACCACTCAGAGGATATCTAAAGTGTTTAGGCAACCAACTTTGGAGAACGTATTCCTAATGAAGGTATTTCCATTGTCAACCAAACACGCCAAGAGAATGAAAGTTAATTTACCCAAATATACATGGCACTGTGTATACTTCAGTATTTTCAGAGTACATTACCACATAGACAACCTGATTATTTCCACAAAAGGAAACTTTCAATCTTTAGCCCCAATCATTTACTACTATTTTACCAGGGAAATCTTCTCTTATAAATTTAAATTATTGAAAGCTACTAAATCAATTAACCTTGTTGAAATTTGACAAATTTGGTTTCTCTCATCATTCATCTCCCTCTCTATTAGATAAAATGCCTGCTAAACCAACCACTAATCCTGTTAAGTTACTGTTTATATCTTTAGGACATCACAGTCAAAACTTAAAATTTATTTCTAAGTTCTTCACCAAAATGAACATATTTTTCTTGTAGTACTACTTATACATAAGTATTATACTAGTATTCCACTCTATTTTAGACTTTCACCAAGTCAAATTATGTTAGCAATATTTAAAATCATGATTCAAAATGAGATTTAAAAAAGAATCAGAGTGTTCTCCAAGCCTTTGCCATTGCAAATCATTTTGATAATAACAGGGAACTACTACTTATAGTACTTTACCACATTATATTCAATTCTTACCACAACCTTATATTCCCACTTTAGAGATGGGAACACTTCAGCACAGAAGACTTAAGTGAGCTGGCCCAAATTACAAAATGAAACAGGATACAGGATCCAAAGCCAGGTCTTCCTGGCTCCAAATACTGAACTCTTTCCTTTTTGCTTTGTTACTGCAGCCAAGCCCTGAACAAAGTAAACTACTAAACTACGCAACTCAAAATAACGAAATCAAACAAACATGCCACCATCCTATTTCATACCTTTAATCCTCTGAAACTTCCCGGGCTAGTTGGAGAGGAACTGGAGGATTTTGTAGATTTAGGAGTGGAAAGCTGGCTGCTGGGAGTTCCATTAACTGACCATAAGACAACAAAGGGGACAGAGGTCATTAAAACCCAAAACAAACAGATTGTTTAAAAACGCTAAGCACATGCACAACGTAGCTCCAATGAAGCTTCGATTCATTTAAAGCTCAAAGCAAATAGCAAATCAGCAAAAAGCAAAAATAATGTATCTTATTGTATTAAAGACAAAGCATTAGACAAATAAGGAGTGAAACCAGAATTACTGTTGATAATAGTTTTCTAACAGTGACATAAACAAATATATAAAACATTATGGAATCAGAGATGTGAACAAGAACTTGTCCATATATCCTGTTTGCCAACAAGGGTAGAGAAGTGAATGGCTATTATATTTGTAATGATTTACTATGAAGGTTGTTCCATAACCTCCAATATCCACTATCTTGGTAAATACCAACCTGAATAACCAAGAAGTTCTTACGGCTCTCCCAAATCAAATCCACTGTAATCCAAACACATTTTCTAAGTATATTCTTAATGGAAATGGAAAATTACTGGTCATTTTCCTTGTAATACCTACTTATTTGTTTGAAAGTCATAAAAGACACTCCAACTTTCTTTTTATCTAGACTAGTTATTTCTAATTCCTTCCATTTTGTTTTCTTTAGAGCTTAACTTCCCCATTATTTAGCAAATCTTGGTGGTTTTGTATGCTTTCCCCCTCCAAACTTTCATACACTTCTTAGGTTGAAAGCTCAATTTAGAGCCTATGCTAGAAGAGTATGGCTGCTGCTGTTTAGGGGGGAACGTTAATTCGGGGATTCTCTACCAGAGACTGCTGGTCAAACATTTCAGTATGACTCACGTTTATTCCTAATGGTATCACCTGGATCCATTCTGCTGTCATTTCAAAAAGCTGGTAGTTAATATCTACTACTGGGGTAAGTAACCTCTTTTATCATTAATCTTCAATGCTTTTGCCCAAAGTAGATGAAAAATGCCATTCGTCCATATGGAAAGAAAAGTCCATCTCCTTTTTTTTTTTTAATTCAAGGGAGCAGACAACTATTATTTTAAATGACGCTAATAAGTATAAAAAGCAAAATGCACAGCTAAAGGTCCTGAATAGGTGATTCAAAAAAGTGAGCGCCAGTCCTCGAGCGGAGGCAGAAGTCCAGGGTCAAGTATTTGTGATTAAATGAATCATGTGTCAACAGAGATGACTCTCTCGGTTTATGAAGTCTTGTTTGTTTATTGTACAGCTTATTTAAAAAGTTTAGTCAAGATGAAAACTTTGTCTAGTTATTTTTAAATTATGACACTAATTTTTCTAATTCAAAGCCACTCATTCAAAGATAACTATCAGTTACCTAGATTTTCTTAACAAACGTATGTCGGTATTTAGAGGGCAAGTACAACACAAATGACTACACAATTAATTAGAAACTTTTAAGAGTATTCAACAGCCCTGATTAGTTCTCAATTAAGTTAAATTTCAATTAAGGTTATTTCTTTTTAAAATTCTCTTTAAAGAGAACTGGTGGTAGGAATTTACATAAAATAGAGATTACTATGGGCAACGAACTGGTAAACTTGCTGTGAGCCGAGACTGAATTTTATTCCTTTTTTTCTTCACCCCACACAGCAACCTGTACAGGTCACCAGTTCCTCCTCAATAAGTGCTGTTAGCATTCACAGATGTTCAGACACCACACAGATATCCAAGACTTCCTTGCAATGATGATAGAAAAGGACTAAAGGAGAAAAATCGATTCCTGCAAATGGTGATCTCGGTAGCTGACCAATCTCCCTAAAAATACATCCCCTGCCTAGGCATAGTTTCCTAACAAAACTCATTGCCAGGCACTTAACCGGCGTCAGTAACTACATGTCCATATTTTCCCCAAAATAACTCTCATCCTAAAGAGATACTAAGTCACATGTAGCCCTCTAAATTTCTGATAGCATTTGGAAGCTTCTAAAAAATGTTCTCTAATAAGTAGCCCTTAATTTCATTTATGTGCACATTTCTCCAGAGTCTCTGGAACTGTAGGTAAGTGGGACCTGGGACAGTGGCACATCGTGCCCTCTTCCCTCACTCTGCTGCCACCAAATGGAAGGTGTGCAAGGACCAGCCAGCCTCCTTGTGATGCTCCCACTCCTTCACTACACCCCTGATTTTCTCTCCCGAAACAAGGCTTTTATTCCCCCCTCTCCTCAACTGTAAGCTAAGAAATAGACTTGGGGGGCTTTTCTGTTTGCTTGTTTGTTAATTTGCTCTGAATACTTTTTATCTTGGTGGACTATGAAATATTCACAAGCTTGAAACCTAAAGCGAGATTTTTTCTTTCAGTGAGGAAGATTAGCCTTGAGCTAACATCTGTTGCCAATCCTCCTCTTTTTGCTGAGGAAGACTGGCCCTGGGCCAGCATCCGTGCCCATCTTCCTCTACTTTACATGCCAGAGCAGCGTGTAGGTCCACACTGGGGACGTGAACTTGAGAACCCCGGGCCGAAGCGGAGGGTGCGAACCTATCCACTACGCCACTGGGTCAGCCCCTAAACTGAGAAGTTTTAAGACTCAAATTATGGTAACTACTTACCCACTTACGTTACCCAGATTAATTTCTGTGTGTTTATTACATACTAGTTAGTTACTTCAATAAATCAGAGTTTTGTTGAGGAATTCAGTCAACCAGAATTCACTTATGCGAGCACTTCTGTCCAAAGATTGAAAAAGTACATTATTATATTTACAAAGTTACTAATTCTGTTTGAAATTCCAATTAGTCCCATGGAATTTGCTAAATGGTAACAGGTATACCACAGCTAAAGCAGTCTGTAAAAGCAAGTTATACTTCTGGGTACTGTGGCTATTTTTTTTTTTTTTTTT